GGGGGTGCTATACTCCCTAGTATAAGGGGCAACATCCCAATCTGAGGCAATCAAGATTTGAAAGCCGCGGCTTAATCCGAGCATCTGATTAATTAATACCCCCACATTTAAAGAAATTTTTTTTGGCCGGAAGCCCGCCGGAAGACTACTTTCCATTAGGGTGGATTTCGTATGGGACAAACCCCCCACATTTAAAGGAATTTTTTGGGGGGGTTCAAAAATCTGTCGGCAGGCTTCTTGTTTTGCTTGCGGAGACGCAAAGCTACAGCACCTCAGGGATCTGCATCGTATTGTTTTTAATAGAGAATCAATACAGGGCCACGGTCCAACTATTGCGGAACCCTGCATTCCTTATTGTGAGGGGGGGGGGGCCCCCCACCCACTAATCAGAAGCTCGGATTAGGCTTTGTGCTTTGGGGCTTTGGGGCTTTCGGGGTTTGGGTTCAGGCTCATAGATTTTATTTGAGTAGGCTTGTAAAGGCTTGGATCCCTGGTTGAGGGAGGGGTTTGGAATGAACTCGTCGCCCGTGAAGGCAAGAGAACTGTGGATGGGAGCTGCACTGCTGCTAGAAGCCAAAACCCTAAACCCGAACACCTCGACCCTTTCCTGCGCCCCCCAAGTATTCCTGAATAAGGGCCTAAGTGTACCTTAATCGGGGTATTTAGGGTATCTTACAGGTACTTTACTTGGGGGATCCAGGTACATGACAACCCTGAACTCTAACCCCTAAGCCTCAAACGCTGGGCCAAGCCAACAAGTCAACCCCCTGAGCCCAATGCTGGCGACCGGACTAATCACGTGCTCTGTAAGGGGTTCCGCTGTCCTCCCAAGGTTGCAGTCTAGGGTTTGGTGTGTACCTTGGGTTTAGGGTTTGGGGTTCAGGGCTTGGGCCTTTGGGGTCTATTTGGCGCTGCCTCCGTTCTTACGTAAACAGTTCCGAATTACAACAATGAGATATGGAGTTAAGTTTAGGGTCTCCAAGACTGGGTCTGCAAATTTCTCTCTCGTTGTTTTTTTCTCCTCTCCCTGCTCCTCGTTCCTGCCTATCCAATCTACCACTATCCGAAAAAACAGGGTTTAGGGTTTAGGGTGTAGGGTTTAGGGTCTAGGGTCTAGGGGGGTTTAGGGTTTAGGGTTTAGGGTTTAGGGTTTAGGGTTTAGGGTTTAGGGTTTAGGGTTTAGGGTTTAGGGTTTAGGGTTTAGGGTTTAGGCGGTTT